AAAAAAAAAAAAAAAAAAAAAAAAGGCTTAACTTTAGATTTCTTAAACCCTGCTTCCCTTTGTGTTCCAATCTGAAATGTCAGCATTGGTAATAAATTTCTATCCAACCCACCCACTTCTCTATCTTTAATTAAGTGGTTAGAGATGTGAGTCTCCCATACCTTAGCTCTCAAGGCACAATTCATAATTAAGGAAGTAAAAACATTATATAAACATGAGATATTTTAAATGATGACAGCTTTAATAGGTAATTAATTTAATTGGTATTTTTTTCATGGAAGTCATTGCTACATACGACTATGTAGTTTTTGAATGATGTAGTTTAAATTGGTATTGTTAACATTGGAGAAGTCAGGTTAATCCTCTTACTGGTCACTGTGGGCTTACTGAAATCTGCAAACATTCCACTCGGTTTATAATTAAACAAGGGAACATTTCCTAATACTCTAGGATTTGTAAACACATGTCTATTATTTTATAATGTATTTTGACATGCTCTGAAGAGATCTTCAAAGTTTTTTTCCTCTTTGTAAAAGAAATAGAGTTCACAGGGCAGTGCCTGTGGCTCAAAGGAATGGGGCGCCGGCCCCATATGCTGGAGCTGGCGGATTTGGACCCAGCCCGGGTCAAAAACTGAAAAAAAAAAAAAGAAAAATAGAGTTCACATACCATAAAACTCACCCTTTCAACATGTACATACAGGCTTAGCGCCTGTGGCTCCAGTGGCTAAGGCGCCAGCCACATACACCTGAGCTGGTGGGTTTGAAGCCAGCCCAGGCCCAGGAAACAACAATGATGACTGCAACCAAAAAATAGCCGGGCGTTGTGGTGGGCGCCTGTAGTCCCAGCTACGTGGGAGGCGGAGGTAGGAGAATCGCTTGGACCCAGGAGTTGGAGGTTGCTGTGAGCTGTGATGCTACAGCACTCTACCCAGCTTGAGGCTCTGTCTCAACTAAAAAATAAATAAATAAATAAAATGTACATACAGGCTCAGTGCCTGTAGCTCAAGCAGCTAAAATGCCAGCCACATACACCAGAGCTGGTAGGTTTGAATCCAGCCTGGGCCTGCCAAACAACAATGACAACTATAACCAAAGTTGGGCATTGTGGCAGGTGCCTGTCGTCCCAGCTACTTGGGAGGCTGAGGCAAGAGAACCATTTAAGCCCAGGAGTTGGAGGTTGCTGTGAGCTGTGATGTCACAGCACTCTACCCAGGGTGACAGCTTGAGGCTCTGTCTCAAAAAAATAATAATAATAAAATGTACATAACAATTCAAGGATGTTTAGTATATTCATGAGATTGTGCGATAATCACCACCATCTAATTCCAGAACATTTTCATCACCCCAAAAGAAACCCCATACCCATAGTCATTGTCTAATGCTCCTCCCCTTCACCCTTGCCAACCACTGTTAGACTTTCTGCCTCTGTCATTTTGCTTATTCTGGACATTCAATAAGAACAGATGATGGGGCGGTGCCTGTGGCTCGGTGAGTAGGGCGCCAGACCCACATACCGAGGGTGGCAGGTTCAAACCCAGCCCCGCCAAACTGCAAAAAAAAATAAATAAGAACGGATGATACCATATGTGAACTTCGTGCCTGTCTTTGATTTAGCATGAGGTTTTCAAAGTTCATCCATGATGTAACCCATACCAGCACTTCAGTCCTTTTTATGGCTGAATATTCTATTGTATAGACTACGTATCACACTTCGCCTATCGATTCATCAGTTGATGAACATTTGTGTTGTTTTTCCTTTCTGGTTATTATGAAAAATGCTACTATGAACATTCATGTACAAGTTTTTGTGGGGACAGATTTTTTAATTCTCTTGGGTAAATTAGGTTTTCTTGTTGCTGTTGTTTCTGAGACAGAGTTTCACTCTGTCACCCTGGGTAGAGTGCCTTGAAGTCACAGCTCCCAACAACCTCAAATTCTTGGGCTCCAGTAATCAATCCTCTTGCTTCAGCCTCCCAAATAGCTGGGACTACAGACACCTGCCACAAGGCCTGGCTCTTTTTTAGAAACAGCAAATAGGGTCTCTCTCTGACTCAGGCTAGTCTCAAACCAGTGAGCTCAGGCAGTCCATCTGTCTTGGCCTCCCAAGTGCTTGGATTACAGGCATGAGCCACCTCACCCGGCTATCATGCCATTTTTCTTCTTACTCCTGGGCGGGGAGTGGTAGCTCACGCCTATAATCCTAGCACTCTGGGAGACTGAGGCAGGTGGATCTCTTGAGCTCAAAAGTTGGAGCAAACTCAGCTTGAGCGAATAGAGTATTGTGGCAGGTACCTATAATCCCAACTACTCTGTAGGCTGAGGCAAGAGGCTCACTGGAGCCTAAGAGTTTGAGGTTGCTGTGAGCTATGATGTCATGCACTTTACTGTGGGTGATAAAGTAGACTGTCTCAAAAAAAAAGTATCTAGAAAGAAAATCCAGCCTTAAAACTTAAAGACATCATTCTTCAATAGCAAAACAAAATTTGTTGAATGCTAATGATGCCATGTCAATTTAATCGTGTTACATAATCATAAATTATCGCAAACTTTAATTACTATATTTTAACCAAATATTTCTTCTTGGCAACTTACAGTAGAAATATTATTTGGCGCCTTGTAGCTCAAGCGGCTAAGGCACGAGCCACATATACCAGAACTGGCAGGTTCGAATCCAACCCCAGCCAGCCAAACAACAAAAACAATTACAACTAAAAAATGGCCAGGCGTTGTGGCAGGCACCTGTAGTCCCAGCTACTTGGTAGGCTGAGGCAAAAGAATCGCTGAAACCCAGGAGTTGGAGCTTGCTGTGAGCTGTGATGCTACAGCACTCTACCCAGGGGGACAGCTTGAGGCTCTGTCTCAGAAAAAAATAAAAGAAAAATATTATTTGATGAAAATCCTCACAACTCAGAAACAAAGTAAATCTTATTTTCAGAGGACCTCATGAATATAATTTTTTTATTGTACCTGCAGTCAAATGAATGATAAGATGAAAAAACAAATTTTCTTCCTTCTTACATGTAAAGGAGAAAGTTAAGAGCTTAGGGTTTGGTCCAGAAATCTGAGTTCAAATTCCAGTGTTGCCACTTCATAGCTGGATATGACAAGGGATATTAAACTATTTTATATAAACCTCATTTTTCTCCATTATAAATTTGAGATGATAATAAATAGTACTCTCTTTATAAGGTTGTTGGGAGACATATGGGACATTCCCCAAGATAGACTGTATGCTGGGCTCAATAAATTTAGCAAATCCCACATGCCTGAAATAATCCCCATCACACAGATATTTCAAAATTATTTGCTGACTGATCAAATGACTATAACCCTGATTCCCAAATCCAATATGCCCGTAGAGTCTTGTTCATCTCTCAGCATCCTGCCATTCTGAAGCCTGCACATTCTTTAAAAGCATTTCAAGGCTAAGTACCTCTCTAGTATTAAGGTTTAGAGGAGAAAAGAGGTGAGATTAAAATTGTTCCACTCTACCTCACCTGAATTCAATGACTGGTATTTGTTCAAGGGCAACTCAGTTTGGAGTTGTGAAAGGCTGGCCTAAAAGGCGTCTAAGTTCCCCTACCCAATTATGAGGGAGGCTCCTGGTTCACAGAGGAGTGTCCTTGACAGATTTATGGAAGATTTCATGGGGAAATC